CTTTTTTTGAAAGTTTCCACATTAGGAGTAAATGGTTCATTGGTAAATGCAGTTTCCAGAAGCATTTCCAGAAAGGAAAATTTGCTACATGAGAGTCGGAAGCATGTCTGGATGATAAAATGGCATATCCTTGCTTAACCGAATACTCACCGGAACAGTTATTACAAGCTGACCATGCAAGCTTGTCACAAGATTGGAGGAACGATAGAGGAATTCTCAGAATCACATCAGAAGTATGTTGATCATGTTTTTTTTTTTTTTTAACTGCATTCTCCCGGATTGATTCGATTCCCCCCAGAAAAAATTAGCACACATGGAATCAATTTCATTACAAATGGATCTTATAACTTTTATTTGTTAATATATGAGGTTAGATGCAATGTGAGAGGTTTGAAAATGCACAAGAGAATTTGTTATAACATCAAACTAACTTGTTAAATCCTTAATTGAACTTGTTATATCAACAATAATTTTTACTTATCAATTTACAAGAATCATTTGAAGAAGTTGATGTTGGTATCATAGTATCATTTCACATACAAAATTATTTTCAAATGGTCATTTGTTCTTGTAATGATAATTCTAAATCGTTTGGTCCTTTCAATGACTAAACTCCTCCAACCGTCCTTGAATGCCATATTCGTTATTATTAAAACAAATATAATATTTTAAATTACTTACCAGTGTTGTTGGCAGTGGCAGAGCCACGTTAATTCCAAGGGAGGCAAATGCACCCCCTCAACTGGTGGTAATTGAACATGTATGAGAGGCGTGGCCATGGAGAGAGAAACTAAAAATAGTTAAATGTTGAGAATAATCATGCCACGTAAGGAAGAGAAAGCTGGAATCGTGCACCTCACTTGGCTAATCTGTCCTCTTCACATCATTTCTATTTATTTTACAAGATAATCTTATTTTACATTAAGAAATACAGATACTTTATTTTACTCCTAGAGTTTGTAATATTTAAGTTTTTATATTTTCTGTTGGTGATATTTTGTACACCTTACACTTATTATTTGAAGTCAATTGTTCTTGTTTTATATCTAAATATATTTTATTTAAATAGTTTTTTATACATACCATATATGTTTGTGTCATAACTCATAACTTAACTCACATATCACAACCTAATAAATTTTAAATATAAATTTCAAACTCACTGATTTTATATTGAATATGCCATCATTATTTCATTTTCATATATAAAATAAAAATGTTCAGAACAATTTTTTAAAAATTATTTATTTTTAATTTCATATTCAATTTTTTTTAAATATGATATCACAATTATATGATATAAAATTAATTATTAAATACTATATTTTATTTTCAAAATAATTTATTTTTAATTATATTACACCTCTTGAGTCTGGATCCTGACTCCACCACTGGTTGTTGGTATCCATATTATCCAATAATTACTTACGAAGCAGTCAAAATATTTGTTTAAAATAATATTTTGACCTTTTATATGTGTAAGAAATAATATCAGTCTTTTGTCATTTATTTGTAAGTTTAAAAACTTAATTGATTTAATCTTTTTAAAAAATATTTATTCATAATTTTATAGGTTTTTTTCCTATAGTTTTCAGCTAAATGAACAATCAAATTAATAGACATTTAACGAGAGGGTAAGGCCGTTTTGTTTTTTCCATGATACCGAATGCATACCTAAAAAAGCTCAAGGAAAAAAAAAAAAATATTCCCATACAGTACGCTTGAGCCTGGAGAAAGGCCCAGAATAAAAATGCCAGTTGCAGCCCTTGATGTTTGTCTTTTTCCATGGTTACGTACTATTTATAATATACTTTTTAAAAATAATTTTTTATTAAAAATATAAAACATTTTGTAATAATTAAATTATTTTTAATTTTATTTTTTAATTAACGTGAAAATATTTAATATAATTATATTATTATTTAAAGTTAATGATAAAAATAAAAGTAAATTTCATTTTTTATGATATAAAAATTAATTTTTTTAAAAGATGTGAAATAATTAAAAATGAAGTAATACCTAATGTGCAACAAAAAAAATTTAAGAAAAAAAAATTAATTTCCCATACAGTATACTAGAGTTTAGAGGCAGATCTAGAATAAAACTACTTGCTGCAGCCCTTGAAGATTGTCTTTTTCCCGGGTTGTTTGGTTTTTAACCTAAAGTGCGTTGGTAAAAAACAGTGTATGGAGAAAAATTCCCCATATAATTTATTAGCTTGAGTTTAGAGACAGGTCCAAAATAATAGACAGCAGCGCAGCCCTTGACGCTTATGTTTGGGTAAATCTCACTCAGAGTCTCCAAAATATAAAAATTTATATTTGGGATTCATTATAATATAAAACCTCTCTACAAATTCACCCGAGGGTCTTGAGTGAAAATGTATTTTAATTAAAAAAATGCATTTTCTCTCCTCCTCTCCATGAATGAACAAAAAATATCCATAAAATATCAAAACAATATCCTATAATATATAATTAATTTATTAAAAATTGTTTAACTTAAAATGAATAAGTTGTGCAAGATAGAACAACCGAATATTTATGAATACACAATATAATGTGCATAAATTGTTAGTACAGTGTCCTGAAATTGACAACAAAATGTTTAAGGGCAGACATGTCTTTTTTTGTTGAAATACATTTTCATTTGAGGTTTTTAGGTTTATAGAAAGTTTTTAAATTGTATTGGATTTTAAATATAAAATTTTATATTATGGGAGCCCTAAGTGAGATTCTCCTTTTATGCTTTTGCTATAAGAGATTCTTCCAAACTCCTATGAGAGTGAAACTAACATGCCACTGTTTCCCTTTTTTTAAAGGAGAACGATAGAGTTTTAAGTAAATCAATTAATTTAAATTAAGTTTTAAATATCAAACTTTATAAATTTATAAATTTAAATTTTATTTTAAAAATTTATTGTGATGAATTTGTAACTGATATTCTAAATTTTACAATCTTGTTAAAATTTAAAAAATAAATTATAAATTTATCACAATGAAATTACAAAATTGATAGATAAATTTATAAATTTTTAAAGTTTGATATTTAAAATTTAATTTAAATTAATGAATTTTTTGAAATTTATCTGTCATTCTCCCTTATTCAAAAGCTCGCGTGTCTTTTGCAACGATCTTTCAAAACCCTTTTCGTTTATGACACGAATTAATCCTTCCCTTTAGGCTTTCTGTATTTTCGGCTCATCGTCGTCGTCATCTAAACTTGACGGTTTTTAATTCTGACTTTATATCTCATAACCTCCCAAGTTGGAAAAAGCAAACTTCGTGCTGTGTTCCTCATTTACGTATGACTTAATACAACTTTCTCCGTCTTGAATTTTACTATGACGGTTCTGCATTGAGTGCACAGCTTTCATGTGATTTGAATCCTCTATTCTTAATTCGCGTCCGTGAAATGCTTCTTTATATGACAATTCACTTTTATTTACATGCTTAGATGACATCCATTGTTTTATTCCTATCTCTATTTTTTGGATCATGATATGCACATGTTTTCTTTTTTACTTTTCTTAGTTTGTTGTTTCTTTGACTTGATTCATTCAAGGGCAAGTTAGTACGTAGAGTAATCCTAGTTGGATCAAAGATTCTAAGTTTTATGATCTAACTAACATATCATCAAATTTGAGCATTGTATATATAATCTTATCCACTTTGAGCTGCCATTACGGATTCCTCTTTTTACCAGAAAAACGAATGGGCAAACGAGCTTTTCCCATGCTTCCTTTAAATGCATTCACATTTTTCTGTCAAACAATAATAAAAAAAATGCATTCACATTTTCAACTCTATTCACAACTCACTCTCTGGTGTTTTAAACTAAATCTTATGTACTAATAAAAATTTGTCATTAAGTTGAAGGTATATAAAACCACATTATTTTTTTAGTTTTACCTGTAATAGTGTCATAATTAATTTCATATTAGTAGTAAAGCATACAATTAATATTCCTTTCCCTTTTCAAGATAATAAAGATAAAATTGTTAAATTACTCAAAATTAGTATGACACCTTGCAAAACAAGTTTCTAGAAAATTAAAACACCTTATAATTATATATTGGATTGAAGGGAGTATGAATTAAAGAAAATTTTAAAAAAAAAACAGCTATTTGGCACAAGAGATTCTCATGGATACGTAATATATGTACACACACACATATTCTTTCCAGTTTTTAATATAAGATGAAGTATTGTAAAAGAACATGTAACTTTATAGTTTTACACTTCTTTGTTATTAATGAATTCATGAATATAATAATTTATTATTTAGGATTTCAAATGACAATAAATATACATGGGATAAAATTGAAAAAAAGAAACGTTAATTACTATAACTTTTTCTTATGCGGAGGACCCATATTTTTTTTCAAACTTCATCTTATATTAAAGATAGTGTGTGTAATTCATTAGCTATATAATTAGCATTACAGAACAATAGTATAAAGTAATCGGATGCATACAAAGATTGGAACTTGATTGACTTGGAAAAAGTAAACTACTTTATTTTTGTCGATTTTTCTATCTTTAGAATACATATTTTGATGAATTTTTATTTTTTATTGCAAAATATTTTCTATTAATATGTGTGTGTTGTGTAACTTTTACTTTCTGAATTTTTTTTTAATTCAATTCTTTAGCTTTGAATTAAAACTACTCAATGTTTATAACTTTTTAGTTCAAAAAATCTTCATCCTTATAATTTTGTGACTCCATATAATTCAGCTTTCATATTCCTTAAATCCATAAACTATAAGAATTAAATTATATTGAATTAATTAATGAAAGTTCAATGACTAAATTAATAATTGTTTAAAAAAAGTTAGAGAACGAAAGTTATATTATCCCTAATTATATCTTACAATGCTGTTTTGTAACCTTAACAAACTAGCTTTATCACATTCTGATTTCAATCTTATTCTGAGAAGATGAATATAATTCATTTAGTTAATTAAATATCGATATATTATTAAATCACGCGTGAAGTTGTTCGTCACCGGGAATTCATGCATATATTATCGATTTTTTGGTACACTAATCAAGAAGGATAAGATTTTACATACATCTTCTAACGAGTCTACACGTGACTCTGACCTTTCCTTAATTCCCTCACGAAACTACAGTAACATCAGAAAGACCATTTTGCCCCCCTCGGAAACCAGAGGAACAAATACAGAATCAGCAAAAAAAAAGACAGTGACTTGAAAGATTTACTATCATCCAGATAATCAAAAATCACTTGGAGGAACCACAACGGTTTGAAGCTTTGAGGAAAGAAGCACTCTTTGTGATCTCACGTATTGGCTTGTCTGTGTACCTTATGATGTTATACACCCAAGCTCCGGCCACTGCTCCGGCCACCGGAGCTATGATGTACACCCATATTCCTTTATATTGGTGCCACACGATCGCTGGCCCTAAGCTTCTCGCCGGGTTCATCGACGCTCCGGTCACCGGCCTATCATACAAAAAAAGTAGTAAATGCACTAACATGAACATGATGGCCAAATTAATCAAATGAAGGGTCAATCAATCAATTCCTATACATATTTGCAGTAAAAAGAGAGAGAGAAAATTTAGAAGGGTGGGCGGGACCCACAGGCCGTTGGATCCTCCACATAGTCAATACCCACCGTCTCACTCGTCAAATAGCATTGCATCATATTTTCGAAACCTTACGTAAACCATAAAATAAAAAAAACAAAGGAAAAGGTAAGAATGTTTGAAATTGTTTTTATTTTATTATTTTAATAACTAATGTTTTAATAGAATATATTTTAAAAATAATAAAAATAAGTGTTTTTTTTATTCTCTCTTATTTTTGAGAATAATAATCATAAAATATTTAAAAATTATTTTTATTTTTTTATTTTTCAAAATAATATTTTATTTTTTGTTTTTTAAAATAATTTTTAAAAATATGTTACTAAACAAATTTTTTGTTCTCTTGTCTGAAAAACAAAAAATTATTCTAAAAACAAGTTTCTAAATAAACCCATAATCATTTTATTTTTAGTTATGTAATTTGTTTTTAGAGTCTTCTGATTGTTAGCAACCTGAAGAAAAAAACACCATCACCCCACCGGAACTAAAAGCAAAGTGAAAAAAAAAAATGCTGCTAGATTTTTTAGTTTTTTGGATGGGCCATACAGAATGGTTGAGATAAATATAGTAACAGTGTTTAAATTGATGAATTTAAATTTAAAATTAAATTTATGTATTTAAAAAAATTTTAAATGTTAAAACTGTAATAATAAAAATGAGAGATAAGGAAAGATGTGAGAGTTATGTTACCAAAAAAATTCAAAATGAGATATTTGATTCAAATATAATTTTCCATTAATCCAAACACAAACATTAGGAAAATATTTGGGGGAAAAGTTGAAGGCTTTTGAGAGTGGATTGCACATTTGCAATAGCACATCAATAATCATCAATTAGAGATTCTTGAACATCTCGTAAGCTCTGTTGAACATTTTAGAAAATTCTCAAGAACTTCAAATCCTGAATTTTTTTTTTTGAAACATTCTACGCATTTGATCCTTATCACAATTTTCCCACAAATGTTGGCCCACCTCTGAAGCTTATAGTTGGAGGCCAAGAATGAAGAATCTCTAAGTGGTCAAATATTGCAATGAGATCTCAATTCGAAGAAAATCACGAGATTGTGTCTATTATTAGCATTTGGGATAAGGCTAAGCATACCCGGCAAACATAACGTTAAGTAACACGGTTGCTCCTACCGCAAGTCCAGCCAGCTCACCAATCTGTACACAATTAAAAATCATACAAAACATATAAAAATCCAGACATATAGAATATTCTTTAAAAAAAAAAGTTTTTTTATACGCTTCTGATGTAATCTTGGAGGCACACCATCAAGATGATTCAAGCCAGCAACAGTATGTTAAAACAGAACTAGTCAATTTCAGTTGCATTCTTTAATATTTGATCACAGACAAAGTAGATTTCAAACCTCTCAAAACTTGACCAGAAAAGCAAGAAAGAATTCTGAGATTACCGCTCTGTTATCAGTGGCCACACCAGAAATGACGAACATGAGGTAGAAGGTGATGATGAACTCAACCACAAAGCCCTGAAGATACGTCCCAGAAACTAATGTTCCTGCGAAATGGTCTCTGCTTCCTTCAAATATGAGTCTCAGAGTCCCACTCGCAAGCGTCGACGCCAGAACCTGAACTGATACATAAGCTGGCACCTGCAAGAGAAACATCAACATGAATGAATCAATGAATCAGACAACAATCTCGTCTCATAGAGGAAATCGAAAATTAAGGTGATCAATCGAGGTGGTTGACCTGTTTGATGGGGAAACGTTTGGTGGAAGCAAAAGCGAGAGTGACGGCAGGATTGAAATGAGCGCCAGAGATGTGTCCGACGGAGTAGACAAGAACCATAACGACAAGACCCCAAACGATGGAAATCCCAGGAAGCGTTACTTTGTTGCCGTAGCCTTTGTCCACAACCACCGCTGCTTGGCCGGCGAATATCAGAAAGTATGTCCCCGCGAATTCTGCGACCAACTGTAAAATAATAATCGAATCCGACCACATCAGATGGATTAGCGTTTTTGGGGAGATTAAAGTTCGAGACTTTAGAGACAGAAGAGAATGAAGAGGAGCTAGGAACCTTCTGCAAGAAAGGCACGGAGAAGGAGATGCCGGAGTCTTCATTATTTGATTTGTCATTGACGTTCAGAACAACCTCGTGGGTTCCGTTAGTTGCAGAGGTATCAGCCATCACCGACGATCACAGACGACGACGAATCAACGGCTAGAGAGAGAGAGGGAGAAGGGTCTGAGTCTGAGTCTGAGTCTGAGGAAGAGGCGCGAATTTATGGGCAAGGAAGAGTCCGAAAAGGCTCTACAGGGAAGGAGAATTTGAGAGAAAGAGGCTGAGAGATTATCTTGGAATGGACTCCTAGTGATTGGGGAATCAAAAATGATAATTAATTGATTTAATTAAAGTTAACAATGAGATTTTTCCATTGGAGACATCGGTGAAGACTCTGAAAAGTTTCGAGTAGAAATATTGGAGTTTTCTGGGCTTTAAGAAAAGAGATGGCATTCAAGGCAGCCCCAACCACCCACCGGAATTACAGAAAAGCACATCAACATCAATGCCCTGAATAGCTCCCTGTCCACCTCATTTTTCTTTTTGACACGTCACAAATTTTATATTTATAATAATTCATCAAATTTTTATTATTAAATTCCTGAAATTTTTGCATAGATGTATTAAAAAAATTGCTAGGCACTAATCTCTTTGAAGATACATAGGCAAAGAATAAAACGTACTTACTTAGTTTTCCCCGGTATATTGAAAGAATATTGCACTTTTTTACCCACTTATTCTCTCCAATCATATTTATAAAATAAAAAAAATTAATTCTATTTATAAAACATATAATTGATGCTTTTTTATTGCAAGTTTTATCTTTCTTTTATTTTTTGAAAGAAAGTTTTCTCTTATATCCTTTACTGTTATTGAGGGAAGGTAGTATGTTATTGAGCAAATTTAAAAGCTTATTAAATTTTTTAAATAATTAATGAGTTTTGAGTTTTTTTTTTGTGAAACATGTTAGAAATTATTTATAAATAGAATGGGAGGGAGTACTAGTTAATATTTCTACCCAAACTGATAATTTCATAATTATTTTAGATATTCTAGAGGTGAAAACGTATTTTTAGATAAAATTCCTTCAAATGCTCCTTTATTACTTATATATTAATATATATATATATATTAATAATTAATTTTTTTAATAAACGTGAATATCATCATAATTTAAAATTAAAATAGAAAATAAGGAAATCAAGTCTGTTATCACGTGAACATGACTTAGAGGTTAAATTTGGATCAAGAATAATTAATTAATTACTTAGACAAATAAGGAAAATAGTTTTTTAGATAAATATTAAGTTTGTTTCCCACATCAACATGACTCGTGGTAAAATTGGATAAGAAATAGTTACACGCAAGAGATTTTAAATACCATTGATTACCATGCTCAAATGTTTTGTAAAGTTATGGTAATTGTTATAAATGCATGAAACAGAGTACTCCTATGTCACAAAAACAAAAAGTATGAACTTGAAGGATTTAAATTCTCTGAAGTTTGGATTGATGAAATTTTTGTGAGTTTTTTTTTTTTAAGAAAGAGAGAGAATATTTAATACTTTATAAAAAATAATAAAATGAGCGAATACTTAAAACAAAAAAAACTTCACCTAAATTCACCAATTTCATCTTCAAATGATTTAAATCCTAAATATAAAATAGAGTTATAAAAAGAAATAAATGAGTTAATTTTTTCATCTTTCATAAATAACATAATTTTTATAAAATTTATTTTTTAAACGTGGATATAAATATATGAATATATAAATCAAGTTTTCCTATGATATTTTTATATCCATCACCAATAACAGGTATAATATGAAAGTAATAAATGTTAAATTAACATAAGGAAGATCACATCTTGAATGAAATCAAATTATGACTTTAAATTATTTTAATCAACATTTACCATATTGAAATTTAGATTTAGATATATATATATATATATATATATAAATTAAAGTACGCGTTGATCACGAAAAACATATACAAGTTGTAAATTACAACATCATGTATTTAGTAAACAAGTAATGCCATGTATGTTTTTTTAGTGTGTTTGAATAAGCATGTTAATCAATTTTTAGATAGAAAAAAAAAATCAAATTTTGCTTCAATTACCCAAACACTAAGTTTTTTGATTAATTTATTTTTGGGAGAAAAATTGATTTTTTTTCTGGCGGCTGCAAATCCGAGCTTTTGCGGAAAAGCTATCAAAAAACATTGAAGAAAATTATAAAAAAAGGCTCAAGAAAAAATTACAAAGAAAGTAAATAATTTAATAAAAATAAAATCAAACTCTCTTCTCTTCTCTTTTTTTAATAAAATTTAAATTTTATATTCTTAAAAAAATTACTATCATAAATTCCTGTCAACTATCACCCTTCACTATAAAACTAAATCAAATAAAATATTAATTAGTAGAGAAAAATTAATTTAAAATTTAGAGTCATGATAAATATTATTGCAAATATTCAGAGAAAGAGATTTTGCATCATCTATGACATTGCTACATTTTTTATATTGTAAAAATTTTAAGGCAGTGCTTAACATCTTCATCAGATATGGCTCATATTTATAATATTATTAGAGATTAATTTGTATATTATCATCTTCATTAGTTATTATAAAATTAATGTTTGACATTTAAGAATTAAATTTTCTCTTTTATTAAATTTATTTAAACTAAAATATATTGAGTTATTTATTTACATGAATTAAATTGTTAATATTAATATAATTTAAATTTTTATAATTAATCAGATATGTAATTTAAATAATATATGTTACTTCTTAAATAAAATTTAACAAATTTAATAATATTAGATAAAAATATATTAATAATTTAATTTTAAAAAGTAATGTTCTTTATAGTAATTTATATAGCTAAAATTGATTCTGATTAAATTATTCAAATATCTTCAATTTTGTTAAAATTAATTTTAAAAAAATGGTATCCAAATAAATTACGTTATAACATAATCAATTATGATTAAAATTTATCATTTAATTAATTATTTTTATAATTTATTATATCCAACTGAAATTCAAACGGGCACTTAAACTTACAACAAATACAAGGTGATAATTAATAAAAAAATAAATTATTTGATCCAATGGATCAAATCACTGAAATTTATTAAAATAAGTCAAACGAGTAAAATTTTAGAAAAAAAATTGAAGTGAATTAAAATTATACAAATTAACTGATTAATTTTTGAGTTTAATGATAATTTAACCTCTAAATTATAGGTTTATAAGCATCTAAAATCCTAAATTTATTTTTGGTGTTATGTTTTCTTAAATTTGTTCAATTTTTAAATAAAATTAATGAATTTTAAAATTTTTTTTATTCTAATAAAATATATTAAAGTTGACTTGTAGTAATTCTTTAAGATGTTACATAATGCATTGAATGAGTAAAAAAGAGAGAAGTTTTTTGGTATGGAAGAAAGAGAAGCTGATGGTGAAGAAACAAATGGAAAAATTAAATGAGTATTTGAATTCGAGGGCCCAAGAAGAAATAAGGAACACAAATACAATCAACATGGTAGCATTAAATAATGATTTCTTTTTTTCTTTTAATTTTGTATTCACACATACACTCATGTGTACGAGGCCAATTGATTCCATGCTATTAAATATTTGGACTATAAATTCAAAAACTTGGCATTTCAAAAGTAAATTTTATTTTACTTGAATTGCATCATTCCATCTGGCCAATTATTTCTATATCTATATTTTTCAATCAATGTTGGTTCAAGATTCTCATTTTGATTTATTATTTCCTCAACAACATGATATAAAAATATGTCGTCATACAATTATATTTTTCAGTTCTATCTTTTTCCTATAGTGATATAACTTATTGAGATTTCTTCATTATTTTAAAGTATTTGAACCTTTTCTAAAGTCTTCTGATTAGTTATGTCTTCATACTCTTCTAGAATATCAACCTCCTTAACTATACCATTTTTATTTTTTTATCCTTTCTTTTGATTTTTATCTTTTTAATTGTCTTACTGGGACACCAATTTCACTTGGAGTATTTTTAGCTAGAATATAAGATTTGGTAATTCTCTTAAGGTCAGTTAATGAACCTGACAATTGATTTGCAATTTTTTGTAAATGAATTATTTTTTATCTTAATTTAAGTTTCTTGGCTTTATACAAGGATATAGATGAAATAATGATAATACATTTCATGTAATTTCTTTATCCTTCTAATTATTTTCTCTCCCCAATGTTGGAAATATTATTTCATCAAAACAACAATCATCAAAACATGTTGTAAATAAATATCTAGTTAATAGTTCTAGATACTTAATCATAGAGAAAATTTGCTAAACATCTATATCATCACTCTTCAAAAGATCATGAGTGAAAAAAAAATTAAAAAAGATGCTTTTCTCTATTTTCTTTGATGTATCTTCCTTTCAATTAAACTATGCATGCTGTATTATTTTCATATAATATTGTTAAAATTTTTTATTCCAAAAATAAACCACATATCCTTTGAATATGATGGACCATTAACCTTAGCCAAACACATTCTCTACTTTAAATTAGATTTAAGTTGCCTGAAGTTTACTTTTTTATTTTTAATATTTTTAAAATATGTTTGTATCTAATTGAAATAATTTAGGAAAAATCACAAATAAAGACCTCCAAAGAACAAAAATAACCAATCAAGACCACAAAATTATGAAATTGATTTTTAAGACCATGGTCTTTTTTGTAATTTTAAAAATAATAATTTGACTAAAATGTCACTAGTTATCAAGTTTATAAGTCTAGGAACAAAAAAAAATTGAACTCAAATAAAGTAATTTTTGTTCACAATGCATGGGCATCCCAAATAAATGTGTCCTCAAAATGTGCAAATTACTTGACTTCTAAATCAAATGATGAGTTCACAGGGTCATTTACTGCAATTTTCCTAATTACAAGTCTTAAAAATAAAGGGAATAAAGAAATAAAGATGGAGAAATATGTGAGACTTGTATAGTAATAGCATGCATGATATTGATAAGAATAAAAGACAAATTATACGAAATAAAATATAGAAAAATAAAATAAAAAGTGCTAACACATTGTTACTATTATTCTGCCTGAAACTGGCACTCTACTAGTTGTTAAAGAACTCATTGCTCTCTGCTGAATGTGTGACTCGCTAAGAGCATTGTGTCAAATTTGCTAAAGGATAAAAAAAGTTGCGCTAGACAAGCTTAAGGTGACAAAGGTAAATGTTTGAGTTTTACATTGGGCAAGTAAATTTTGGGATCGAATCATTAAAGTGTTCAAAGAAATTATCTAGAGATGTGTCAAGCCACTCACATGTATGGTGGCTTCCTCCTTTTATAGGTATCAAGTGACAGTTTTCTCCATTGTCCATGCTCCTTTTTCTTAGGGCTATTATGC